CTCCCAGTGGCCCTGTTGGTCCCTAGCACTTCAGGGCCCTAGTGCTGAACTGTGGATCTGGTTGGGTGAATATTTGAGAGTGACTCCTGGCCCCCTAAGCAGTGCGTGGGAGAGACCCCAAAAAGAATACACTGTGACAAAACTTTCTATAGCTAGACAATTTTTTAAAAACTCCCTGACATGGAAAATGAACACATTTACAATACAATACATTTACAATACATTTACAATACATTTACAATAAGACATACAATAAGAAATACATTTACAATACATTTACAATACATTTACAATAAGACATACAATAAGAAATACATTTACAATACATTTACAATACATTTACAATAAGACATACAATAAGAAATACATTTACAATAAGACAGGTCACTCTATGGCATTTCACAGACAAAGCAAATAATATCAATTTAGAATTATATTTAGTTTAAATCAACATCTCAATAATCATCTTATTGATTAGCTAGAGATTTAGAAATTATACACTAAGTAGTTCAATGTAATGCCATTCCATGATTTTTAGTTGTTTAAAGATCTGGAAATTATCTTTGAGCAGGCATACTATAAAGCATAAATGGTGCTGAAATAAAGTGAGTCAAAATACTGATTTAATGTTGCTGAAAATGTACAATTATCATAATTATACACATTCTTAGAATTAATGTTAACTTATTTGCTCAGTAAGCTTGTGTTACTTTAGACAAAAACATACAATGTGCTGGAACTATTGTACAGTAGGTAAGGCACTTGCCTTGCATGTGACTGACCTGGGCTTCATTCCTGGCACTCCAGGTTGGTGTGCTGACCAGAGCCAGGAATGATCCCTGAGCATATAACCAGGAGTAAGCCAAGTATAGCCAGGTGTGGCCCCAAAACAAAACAAAACAAAACAACACACCCAAGTAAAACAAAATATATGTTATATTTTACTGGTCACGGTCACGGTCCTCCTGTTATTCATCGATTTTTGCTCAAACGGGCCCAGCAACATCTCCATCATGAGACTTGTTGTTACTGTGTTTGGCATATCGAATACGCCACGGGTAGTTTGCCAGGCTTTGCCGTGCGGGCGAGATACTCTGGGTAGCTTGCTGGGCTCTCCGAGAGGGGCGGAGGAATCGAACTCGGGTTGGCCATGTTGGCTGCGTGCAAGGCAAATGCCTTACCCGTTATGCTATCGCTCCAGTCCATATTTTACTGAACATAGAAAAATCAGAAAAAAGACTTAATTGCCCAAAATATTTAATTATAGTAATCATAGATTCTTAAAACATTTATTACTTTAGATATACAATTTTAGTAATGATCAAAGGCAGATAAATATCAATGCTAATCATATATTAAAAATTATTCTTCCTGATGGCCTAAAATTCTTAATTGATTTGAGTACAAAATAGGCAAACAAAACTAAGAACAGCAGCTATTCTTTCTTTTTCAACAGATAATGCCTTTATAATTCATTAACATTAATTTATGTAATCTATCAATACAGATATTATATAGTTGTACCACAAAACCAAATTCCCAATTATGGCTGCTACCAAATAGGAATAACTACTTTGCTCTGTGTTAATAAAAAACAAAAAAATTAGAAAGTTAATTCTAAAGAGTCTGGCTACTTATATGTTTTAGACTGAACTCTGAAAGGCAATGAAAGACTCAGAAAAAAAATAGCATAAAAGTTTCAGAGTAAAGTCCTTACTATCCCTGTGATCTTGAGCTTTATTTCCAGCCTGTAACCCCAGAGGAGTAATATGTAATTAAATAGAATGATGAATACCAAAACATTTGACAAAACTGCGGATGATATATCAGTATTAGTCATAAATGAGAAAAAATATGAGTACAGAATATAGTATTAATTTAAATTTGGAGTTTGTAACATATCAAAACAAAGATTTTAATTTTTCCCTAATCATTTTTAAACAGCAGAGCATTTCCTCTTAGAGAAAGAGAAATCAAATTCTCAAGTCTTCGTAAATATGAATGTATTATTTTCACTTTAAGGAGGAAAACTGAACTACTGTCATTGATTTCTTTGAGAATATACAACTGACTAGGGTGGTGTGAGGTCCAGGACATGTCAGTTTATCAATATACTTGGAGACTAAAAAACCAGTAGGTTTTTTTTTTTTTGGTAAACCATTTGGGAACCACCTCCTAAGGGTTGTTATACGCATTAACTCACATGCAATATATTTTTGTGGTGCCTTGTTGGCATCATTCAGAATAACTGGAGCATTGTATTCTAATTCATATGTATAAATCCAAAGTCCTAGATTTTTGTTTTGTTATATGGAGAGTCACACGCGGAGCTGCTCCCATCAAGACACTGAGTCCGGAAAGGAGAAGGGGTCCACCTTGGTGGTGGGTGGCCTTATTGTGCAAGGATTTGGCTCTAACATGCAGTCTGCTGTCCCCGCCTTTAATCAATCTGCTTGGCCTAAGAAGTTGTTTTTTTTTTTAGTACAGGCAAATTTTGGTATTTTGGGAGGGACTCTCTCAAGCACTGTTGAGGGCACCCTGAGTACCCCTACCAGAAACTTCACCAAGCAGGCTTGTTGGTTCAGAGTTCTGCAGAGCAGGGTGAAGCCAACAAGTTAATGTGAAACAGTGTGTTTGTTCAGGCATGCAGTTCTAGGAGCAGCCAGAGAGACCCTGGCAGGGCTGGGGTGAAGAGATGCATGTAGAAATCCTGGTTTCAGTCTGGAAATCCAGACGGAAATCCAGGCCCTGTGCCTGCATTCCTGACCTTTTGCTCCCAATTTTTATGTCAGTCATTTCACATATTTTATTCACTTTTATTGGACAGAAAATAAGATGATACTTTTTTAACTATTCATTCACAATCTTTCCACATTTATTTTTGTTATGAAACTATAGTTTTATCATACTATTAGTTCATGAAACTTGGTATCAAAAAGGGGATAACGCATCATCAATCCACAAAAAAGACAACTACAGTATTGAAACACAACTACAGTATTGAAACAACAGTCTGGACTGCTAGGCATATGAGGTCTTTTAGCTCATGTTCTAGATTTAATTCACCTCCAGTCCATTTCCTTGTTAAAATTTCTTCTTATGGCTTTATTTCTGTTTTCTTAAAACAGGGCAAATGATGAAACAGTCGAAGTGCTTTTCTTATTGGTAAGAAAGTCAGAAGAGATAATACAGCAACAACTTCATTGATGGTAAGGGGAGTCTTTTTCTTTTGGGTAACACCCAGCAATGCACAGGGGTTACTCCTGGCTCATGCACTCAGGAATTACTCCTGGCGGTGCTGGGGGACCATATTGTATGCTGGGAATCAAACCCGGGTCTGCCACGTGCAAAGGAACCGCCCTACGTGCTGTGCTATGGCACCAGCCCGGTTAAGGGAGTCATGAGAAATCGCTTCTGTACTTGAACGCTGTAGTGTGGATGTGTCTCTGTTATTTTACATTGTAATATATCTTTCTACATTACAGATTTTGAATATTTTGATGGACAGTTTCATGAACTATAGGTCTCAATTTTACACAAATTGCATGGTCACGGAGGTAACTGGGAAGAGGACCTGACTTCAGAAATGGCTGGAAAGAAATACCAGGTTTAAAGATGTCCTTTTAAAAAGTCATTTTTTTTTCACATTCCCGCAAGGAACTGGAAATAAATTGGCCAATATATAGTGGCCAACCTAGTAGAAACTAAAGAACCTCAAATTTCTATGGTTAAAAATTACGGAGCACCCACGGCCGGAGGGATAGCACAATGGGTAGGGCGTTTGCCCTGCACGCTGCCGACCCGGGTTTAATCTCTGGCACCCCATATGGTCCCTGGAGCACGGTCAGTAGAACAGAGCTAGGAGTAACCCCTGAGCATCGCCGGGTGTGGACCCCAAAAGTCAAAAAATATTGTGGAGGACCCTAGCAATAATTCGAACCTAACCCTTCAGACTGGGTGTTGGGTTTCATTAGTATAGGGATGTATGTGTGGTGGAGAGGCTCCGAAGAAGCAGTGCTCAGGGAGCCATATCAATACCTGCTTGGTCTATGCTTGGTCAATGGTACTATCATGCAATGCTGGGGAGCAGGAGGGCCACTCCAGAGGTGTTGGTGGGTGGCATGTGGTGCCGGGGTTCAAGCTTGGGTCACCCTGTGATCTCCCCAGTCCTTCAATGTAGTACTTAAGTGCTACACTGGAGAAAACAAGCAATTCCCCATCCTTTTAGCATTCACATCCCAGGAGATACAACAAAAGCTAGCACTCTTGAATAGTGCTAGCCTCCCAACCCCCACCGGCCGCCGGCGACACAGAAGAAAGCGCTTCCGTCTCCCGGATGCCTCCCGGATGCCGCCGCCGCTTCCCCCACTCCCCCTCCTCCCCGCATCAAAGGAAGGGGTGCAACCGGCCAGGCGTCCGCCACGTCACATCCGGCCCTGGAGAGCGGACTACGGAACGCTAGCAATGAAGTGCGTGTTCGTTACAGTCGGAACCACAAGCTTTGACGAACTTATCACCTGCGTTTCGGCGCACAACACGCTCCAAGTGAGTGGGGGGTGAGGGTCGACCGTCGCGACTAAGGTGGCCGCGAACCTCAGGTGAAATCCCGCAGCCACTTAGCCTAACGGCAACTTCCTGCTGCTCGGTCTTAGGGACACCACCCCCTCCAGTTTGTGATTGGTCCGTCCTCCTGCTTCTCTCCGCCCTTTTTTGGGGCCTCCCTCCACTTCCTGATTGGTCCATCCTCCCGCTTCTCCCCGCCTTGCCGCCCCGCCTCCCTCCTCGCTCCTCCCCCACCCGCCGCCTAGTGCGGCTGGGATTTCGCGCTCCCGCAGGGTGTCTTCTTGCCTTTTTCCTCTCCGTGCCTTCACTTTTGTCTGTCTGTTAGTCCTCCTTCTCCTTTTGCCCGTTTTCTCCCCCACCCGCCGTCCTGGTGGGACCGCGCCCTACGCGCCCGTCCGTCCCTGTAGTTGACGCGCCCCCTCAGCAGCACTCCTAGTTCGCGGGCTGTGGGCTGAGGTGTGGTGGCGCTGCTGATTTGCTCCGAGGTGGCGCGGCTTTCAGGGCTCTGGGCGTGTCTTGCAGCTTCTCGCTCGCCGGAGAAGAGTGAGTTCTTTGGGGTTTATTTGCGTCGGGTTTTTTGGGTTGTTGTTTAACAGTTTTTCTCGAAGTCGCGTGATGCTTTTGCGGTCGTTTACCGGACTCGGGGAGCCGAGTCACTGAGTTCGTTCCGGCTCCTGACGGGAGCTTGGTACGGAGAAAAACGGTGGGTGGTTCGTGTGTGTGAAAAAGATTTTAGAGATTACGAGGAAGGAACGAGAGAGAAGGGACACATCGCAGCTGGAGATGCGGGCCATCCCTCAGAAAAAAAACTACTTTTGAAGCGAGTTTTTCAGCCGCCTTTTCTCTGCGGTCTGAACGCCAAGTTCGACCTTAGGATTTGTTGGTATTCCCGTTTTGACAGTAGTTTGTTTAAAATATTTGCTTTTTCTGTACTTTCCGGCTTCAGATCTTCAAGAGCCTTGGCTACAATCGACTTGTCTTGCAGATAGGCAGAGGAAAGGTGGTACCTGAAGCATTCCGGACTGGGTCGTTTACTCTGGACGTTTACAGGTACAAGGATTCTCTGAAAGAAGACCTTCAGGAAGCGGATCTAGTTATTAGTCACGCAGGTAACGTACCACCGATCATCGTGGTTTAGGTTTTGATGGATGAGAGCAGAGTCCCAAACCTTTTTTTTTGGGGGGGGGGGAGGCATACCTGGCAGGTTGCTCAGAGCTTACTCTTGGTCTTGTGCTTAGGGATCACTGCTGGTGGGGCTGGGGGCAGTGGGAACCTATGCGTTGTCAGATATAAAATCTGCGTCGTCGTCATCTGCATGCATGGCAGCACCCACTATATCATGTCTCTGGCCCACCCCAAATCTTTGAGGTGAAATGAAATGACTCGGGAAAAAAAAAGAAAAAGTTATGGGCCTGAAACTTAGTTTGTCAGTCAGGGTCACCTGTTTTGCGTCATTGGGATTCAGCTCAATCCCCAATCCCACAGCGCTTGCACCTGAACTCAATCCTGACTTTAGCATTGCTTTCCTTACTTGAAGCTCCTTCCCCCAAACCCTAATTTACTAGAATACGCAGTGTAGCTCTTCTGAATCCAATTTAATGTGATGATTATACTGATCGGGCTGGAGCGATAGCACAGCGGGTAGGGCGTTTGCCTTGCACGCAGCCAACATGGCCGACCCGAGTTCGATTCCTCCGCCCCTCTCGGAGAGCCCGGCAAGCTACCGAGAGTATTCGATATGCCAGACACAGTAACAACAAAGTCTCCAATGGAGACGTTACTGGGCCCGCTAGAGCAAATTGATGATCAACGGGAGGGCCTTTACCTTTACCTTATACTGATCGAGAACAGTATTGGTAAGAATTTATTTTTGGATATAATCCACTTATACCTGCAGAAAGTATACTTGCAATTAGTGTTTGGGCCTAGATCTGTAGGAATGTTCCATCAGTCATTTGTCATGAAGAAATTGATTTTGAATGATTTTTTGTTTATATTAAATGTGAATGTGAAATTCATTTAGTCTATAACCTTGTATTAGTTTCCCATTTGATTTGTTTAGATTTCCATTACAATCAGAGAAACTGCTTTTGGAGAGCATTACAATTTGATTCTGAATAAATTAGAAGGAAGTTTCTTGATTCTTAATAATCAGAGTTTGAAGAGAGAAAGTGATTAGAAATAGACATCTCTTAAGATTAGTAATTAGAAGTGTATGGGATAATAATATGTAGCTAACTGAGCTTTTGGCACAGTTCTACATGCTTTGTGTATATAACTCATTTTGTCTTCTCACATCCTATAAATAATACTATTAGTATCTCCATTTTACAGATGAAAAAATTGATACAGAAGTAAATTGTTCAGTTAATAAATTGTAGATAATAGTCTGATGTTGGAGCCTGTGTTCTCAACTGCTCCCCTTCCATTTAATTTTTTCTAGTGAAGCAAGGTAGATTTTATTGGAAAACTTGCTTAAAAAATGTGAGAGGGGAGAAAGAAAGGATATATGTTTGAGAATACAGGCTTCTCCAAATTGGAAATAAGCAAGCAAGAAATATGGAGACAAAAAAAAAAGAAATATGGAGACAGCGAGATTCATGTCTAAGGGAGAACTTGGGCGTGAAGCCCTTGTATTTAAATTTTGTTTGTTTTTGGGTCATACCTGGCAATTCTCAGGGGATACTCCTGACTCTGCATTCTGGAGTTATCCTGATGATCCTTGAGGGATACATGCAAAGCAATCGCCCAACTCACTGTACCGTCTTTCCAGCCCTATCCATTTAAAATTTTTAAATAATTTTAGATTTTATAGCAGAACTAAATACTGTGTATATATATATGTCCTGGATATTTAGGCCTTTTATGGTGGTATTTCAAAGTATGACTCCTAAAGAATGTTCAGAATAATCTATTTTGTCTGTTGGTTTCAATCAGAGTATAGTACATTCTCCTGTATAGTATATTGTACATAATTCACATACCTAAGCTTACTAATAGAGGGCAAAATGATATACGAATCTGGATTGTAATGTCACTGATAGTGATAAAGTAATGCATTTTTCAAGTTCAGTTTGAATGTATTATTGAAAGTTCAGGTTTGTAGCTAATTTTAAATTTTTTTCTTTTTGGGTCATACCCAGCGATGCTCAGGGGTTACTCCTGGTTCTGCACTCAGGAATTACTCCTGTTGGTGCTTGGGGGACCATATGGGATGCCCAGGATCGAATCCAGGTTGGCCGTGTGCAAGGCAAATGCCCTACCGACTGTAAAGCTTGATATAGCACACTAACTTTAACAAATTTGTAGGTGCAGGAAGCTGTTTGGAGACTTTGGAAAATAGAAAACCACTTGTGGTCGTTATAAATGAAAAGCTAATGAACAATCATCAGCTAGAATTGGCAAAGCAGCTGTACAAAGACGGACATCTCTTTTACTGTACCTGCAGGTATGCCAGAGACTATTTGAACTCCTACCTTAATTCCTCCCCAGCTGTTCTTACTTACCTACATGGCTCATCTGTCTCTTTAGCTGACTCATCTTTCTCCAACTTACCACACATACTTAAACTTTTTTGCATGTCAGATGCTCTCATTTGTTTGCCTTCATTTTGAATATGATTTCTGTATTGTATTCTTTCTGTATCTGTGCGAGTTGCATTGCATGTGCATATGTATGTTCATTTGAGTGCTCAGGTTTGCTATTATACTTTTTGAGTTCATTAACTTAGATTATCATTATTAAATGAAGGAAGTTTCATGATTTTAATTGAGATTTTGATCTTCAAGAAGTTCAGTGGAATCCCCAAATCAATGAATTGAGCTACCCTTAATAACATACTTGTTTTAGGTAATTTGTATAAGTGGTAAGTGAAATAAATGGCTGTTCTCATGGTGCTTATGTTCTAGTCATAGGGATAGAGTTAAATGGTTCACGAATAACTGATCAAGGTGATTTCACGTAGTGAAATGTGCTGTGAAGAAAATAAGGCAGGGTAAGACTAGACAGAATAATCAGGGAAAGCAGGACTTGGTGGATGACATTTGAGCTCAAATCTCAATGTGAAGGAAGAGCCAGTTTTTAGTAGAAGTTCTGGAAGCAAAGGGAACATTGGCAATTATAAAAGTTCTAAGTTAGGAATGAGGTTGGAGTTCTGGTGTTTGTGGAACAGAGGGAAACCGGCAGGAGAGAATAGTGAGCAAGGAAGAATGTGATACAAGATGAGGCTGGGGATGTTTGTGTGTGTGGGGGGGGATAGCTCTTACAAGAGTTACGATTTTATTCTGTATTTAGTGAGAAGCTACTGAAGTATATTAAGCAGAGGAATTGCTTTATGGTAAGGCATGTTATTTTCTAGAAGTATATTAGGATTCAACAAGAACTCATCAACATCACAATAGAAGGATGAAGAAAATTGCTGGTTTGTTTATTATTTGTTCTTCTTGAGACAATAGAAGCCAAGGGGTCAGGTCAGTAATTACCCAATTGTTTGACTTTTTAAAACTATTCTAATGTGATGTTTTTAAAAGTAAAGATCTCAAGACTATATTATACAATACACATTTTTTTACAAACTAAAATAATTTTAATAAAAGAATTAAACAGGAGAAACTGACTAGAACATAGTTAACTTTTCTTTTAACTTTACTACTAGATGAGCATCTTCATTTTATTAAACATATATTGAATACCTCTGTGCCAACCCTTGGTCAAAAACTTGTCATAAATTAGTGAAAAAAAAATAAAGATTCCTATTCGCCTTGGGAGGAGATAGATTCATTAATTCATGATCAAATGCTGGTAACTAATCCCTATTATGATGGGGTGGGACAGGGATGCCAGGTTGGCTTTGTTATATATAACTCATTCTTGAAAGTATTGTGAGTTGGGAGAGGAGCTGGATAACCAAAATTATGTGGGCTTCAGATAATGGGAATAATAGTTTTTGGGTAGTTGAGACTATTTGGGTTTTTTTTTGGGGGGGTGGCATTTTGTGTGTGTGGTGGGGGGGGCACAGACCTGGTGGTTCTCAGGGGACTGTCTGTACTCAGGTCTCACTCCTGGCAGGACTCAGGGACCATATGGGATACGGGTGATCAAACTTGGGTCTGGCCCCATGCAAGGCAAGTGCCCTATTCCTGTACTATCACTCCAAACCCAATTAACATTTTTTTTTTTTTTTTTTTTTTTTTTTTTTTTTTTTGCTTTTTTTGGGTCACACCTGGCGATGTCAGGGGTTACTCCTGGCTCTGCACTCAGGAGTTACTCCTGGCGGTGCTCAGGGGACCATATGGGATGCTGGGAATCGAACCCGGGTCGGCCGCGTGCAAGGCAAACGCCCTACCCGCTGTGCTATCTCTCCAGCCCCCAATTAACATTTTTAAAGAGGAATTAGCTCTCATCTTCCTGGTTTACACAAACCAGTTTAAGTGGTTTATACAAATCACTTTTCCCAGCTGTTTACGATGAGTATTTTAATTAGTTTTGTTTGGAAAGGGGGCTACCCAGGCAGTGATCGATCATAGGGCCCCTGAGTAGTCTCTGTTTCAATGTGATGGGGAGAGAATGCTGTGCTGCCCAAGCCCTGTGGTGCTGGGGATAACCTGGGCCTCCAGGGCTACAACCAGTGATGCTTAAGGGGCCATGTGTGGACTAAACTCTGGTCCAACCTAAAGTTGGCTACTTGATAAGGCATGTACCCTAGCCTCCATATCTCTCCAACCCCAATATTTTCATTTTAATTATCAAGTCTGTTTTGATTTCATGTCAACACATTAAAAGGGAAAATTTTAAGTTTTATAAACAGAGCGTGTCTCTTCAATTAGCCTGAGGGAAAAAAAACGTGCTGCAAATCGGTAATTTAGTAGCCATATTTGCAGTTTTGCAAGCCCTAATTCTTCTGAATTTCAAGAAAGTTTCACAAATGCCATAAAAATAACTGGTTATGTTTTCCTTTTTGGTATGTAACTTTTCTGCCCTAAATCTAGGCTGGATGATTGTGTGTCCGTTGTAATTTAAGTGGCTGGTTTAATTAAATTTCTGAAATAACAGTTTTGTGTTATGGAACTTTACTTTTGAAAGTGCATGGAGATGTTATGTTAGTTAATTATATATGGATTTATGATAGCAATTTGCTGGCAAATAAGTTATTTCCTTGTGCATGGTCTCTCCCCAGCTTAATTGTTCATGTCTGGCAGCTTTTAGTTTTGCTTATTGTTTTCATAAATTAATTTTGCTTTAATTTATGCTTTCCCAGTCATGTTCCAAAAGCATCTTTACTCATATTTCATGAACTAACATTTCTGAAATAGTTCAGTGATTTTCAGTTCATGTTGAATTGATAGTAACAAAGTGTACAGTAAGTGTTCTCATTGACGCTTTCATGCAGAATGGTGTAATATACAGAGGCAGTTACCATTTATATGGAAAAATTTTAAAGTGGCCCCCACATTTTTCCAGACCCCAAACTTTTGTTTTTGGTGAAGCAAGATAGTTTTAATTGAAACTTATTTAGAAAGATGTGAGGGGAGAGAAAGAGACAGGCTTCTGCAGAGCAGAAATGGGCAAGAAAAGAAAGAGATAAGCAAGATACATCTTCAGGAGAGAACACAGGCTTGAAGAACAAGCCCCAGAACCAAAACTTAACTCATCATAAAGCCTACAGTAGCAATGATCTACAGTAATGGCAGGAATAATATGACAAATGCAAAGCCTGTGTACAATAGTATCCTGGAAGAAACCTGTTCATGTCACTCTTTGTTGTTTTGGGATGTACTGTCTGTGACTTGGTGCAAAACACAGAATGTCATTTTTGTATTTTACCTTTCATCATTTTTTTCTGGCCACACCCAACTGTGTTCAGGGCTTACTTCTGGCTCTGCACTCAGGGATCATTCCTGGTGGCGCTTGGAGGACCATACCAGGTGCTGGGGATCAAACCCAGGTCTGCGTGCAAGGCAAGCGCCCTACCGCCTATACTATTGCTCTGGCCCTTTACCATTCATTTTTAAAAATGATAATCCTTTTTGTATTACTTTCATTTAGTGAAAGTAGGTATTTGTTTTTTATTTTTAAACAATAGTCAAATGGTATAGCACACTTCAAAAAGTGGGGTACCTGTATAGTTTGGGTCTTAGTATGTATGCCTGTAGTTTAAATTACATCAAATTTTAATGTGCAGTTTGAGAAACTTAGCAATATTTTTGAAGTAACAATCATTAAGTAGACAGTAGATGAATTATGGAATTTCTCCCATATTACCTAATATTTTTCTTCTTTTATTTTAGCACGCTTCCTGGACTGTTACAGTCAATGGACTTATCAACACTGAAATGTTTTCCTCCTGGCCAGCCAGAAAAATTTTCTGCATTTTTGGATAAAGTTGTTGGATTAAAAAAATAAACAGTAAATTCTCATCATTTTAAAAACACACTTGAAATGTAGTCCATTTGGAATGTTTTAAATCAAATTGAACGTAACATATGATTGAAGAATAATACGAATTAGTAAAGTTTTTTAGTCTGTAGGGTGTATCTAAAATTAGGTGGCATGAATATTGATACTGAATGCAAATCTTAACTGCAACTTAGTAAATTTATTAGACTTAAAAATTCTCATGTTAATAATGTGGGATGTCCATTATAGGTTTTTTCCCCTAGAATCCCAAATGGAATCATGGAGAAGCCCAATTAATTTGGAAAACTTTGACATCAGCCCCAGTTTTAGGTAGTTTGATCCTTAAGTAAGCTATAACAAATTTGTAAAAATTATTTGAATCAGATTGTTTGCTTCATAATCCAAATTTTAGAGAAAGACCAGAACATTAATGTGTGTTCTGTATAGTAAAGTTTAATAATTTCTATAAAAATTAAAAAGTTTAACCATCAAATCACTTGATCTATTGTACCTAAAGAGTGGATGTGTTCACTTTTTTCCTCTAAAATAAAAATAGAAAATAGTAATATAGACTTGCCCAGTGTCAAAACATTACTCATTTGACAAAAACACATCAAAAAGCACTTACAGAATTTACAATTACTCTTCAAGCGACTTTCACATTTTTGTGAGGAGTGGGACACCTGGCGGTGCTCTGGGTTTACTCCTGGCTCTGCACTCAGGTATCACTCCTGGTAGGGCTCAAGGGATCATATGGGGTACTGGGGATTGAAACCTAGTTGGTCCCATGCAAGTCAAAGACTTTATGCACTATATTTTTGCTCTGGCCCAGGACTCCCTTTCATATGATATTGAAAGATTTACTGTAACAGAAGAGTTTATTTATAAAATTAGTTTTATAGATAAGTTATATGGTGTTAAAATTCACTTTGAGATGCATAGGTTGTAATAGTCTTGTTAGAAGAAATGGTCTCGAAGTTTTCTGGTAGGAATTTTAGATACATATCATCTATAAAAATAGGACATTAACTATAAAACTGACTTTTATACCATGGTGTGGAGTAATCCAAGCATTTTACTCAGGATACATTATATAAATGTTCTTATACAATTATTTTCATGATTATGTTTTAGGCTGATTTACTTAGGATAATAAATTTTTGCTAATGATAGAGGTGTTGGCTGAGAAATACTCTGGCTAGCAGGAAGAAACTTGGACTAACATTTTACTTAGAGTAATCTAAAAGTGAGTAATCTACAGTAGTTGAGAAATTACTTCACTATGATTGTATGTTAATATTACACTGAAGTGCTGAAGTGGTAGGAAAGGTCGACCTGATTTTCTGAATGCTCTTTAAATGTGTGTTTTTAATTTGAAAAGAAATCATTACTTAAAATTTTTTTGACCTATGTTGCTGTATAGAGAATCAGCCACAAAGTGCTCAAATATCAGCCAACTAAAAAGCAGTATGAGACCACAAGTCCTATGCTTCTTTTCTAACGTAATGCATAACCTAGCTTATTCCATTGTTTTTATCAGAGGTTTAAGCCACTGTTGTCAGATGTGATATCCCTGAACACTAAAAATGTATGTCAGTTGTTGGGTTTAATTTCTTTTTAATTTTTTAAATTTTTCTTTTGGGGGTCACACCTGGCGACACACAGGGGTTACTCCTGGCTCTGCACTCAGGAATTACTCCTGGCAGTGCTCAGGGGACCATATGGGATGCTGGGAATGAACCCGGGTCGGCAGTGTGCAAGGCAAACGCCCTACCCTCTGTGCTATAGCTCAAGCCCCAGTTGTTGGGTTTAAGAATCACAATATACCCTAGATTAATTTTGGTTTGGTAGCAATCCTCACAATTCTGAAAATAGTACAATCTCATTTCTGAGATGAATGAGAGAGGTTACAATTTGTCTAAAATACAGGTGTTTTGTCAGAGCTGCCATTGGAAGCAACTCCTTGACTCCCATTGATGTGTTCTTTCTACCATATATATAGTAAGATTATTTTCTTTATAGTTGTTTGTATTTCAGTTACTTTACTCTCTTCTAAGGAAAGATTTTTTTTCTTTCCAGAAGTTATTTTAAGACGAATTTTACACCTAGATGGATTTTCCTTTGGTGCACATGACAACCTTATCTCATATGTAGAACTTTATGATTCTTGAGTTTCTTGAATGTAGAATAATGCTACAGGTGGGATCAAATGATTAAAGACTTTAATGTAAATAAGTGTAATTTGGGAAGTGTGGAAGAATTTTTTGAATACTAAGTACAAATCATTTTACAGATTAGAGGGCAGGACAGAGTAATTGCCAAGTTTATATCTTAACTGGTCCTTAATGAAAATAATAATGGCAATCAGAATTCTATTTTAAATATCTGCTCAAGAAAGTAAAATTTATTTGGTTTAATTACATGGTAGGACTTGAGGGTTTTGAAATAAATAATTGGAATTTAGTTCATTTAGCAGTCTTTGGAGTTTCAGGTATTCAGAAGTATTTTGATTTCAAGGGAAAAAGGAAGCAAAAGTAAATTTAAATGTTGATAAATTCACACTATGGTTAACTAAAGAGGTTTAAAAGATAATATTAGGGAGTTTTTGTTTTTGGAGTAGATGGGAAGTGTTGTGAAGTTATAGGACAACCTTAGGAAGTATTTTACATCAGTTCATCTTAAACTTTTTCCACTTGTGATTCCTTTTACCTAGGAAATGCAGTATGGGAAAGTGCTGCCAAAATCACTATGTGTTTTTGTTTGTGGGTTTTGTTGACGTGTATATTAGATGTCACTTCCTGAGGTGCTGAGGGGACCATATGCAGTGTGGTAAAACTGAGTTCAGCCCACGCAAGGCAAACTCCTTCACCCATGTAACTATCGCTTCGACCCACACATTTGAATTTTAAGTAATTTTTGTTGGTTGCATGTTTAGAAGCACTTTAATTACTGTTGCCGGGTTTTTTTTTGTTTGTTTTCTGGGTCACACCCAGAGATGCAAAGGGGTGCATCCTGGCTCTGCACTTAGGAATCACTCCTGGCAGTCCTGGGAGACCATATGGGATGCTGGGAATCAAACCCAGGTTGGCTGTGTACAAGGCAAACACCCTACCCACTGTGCTGTGTCGCTTCAGCCCCATTGTTGCCGTTTTTTCTGACTCCTACATTCAGTTAGCTCAGCATTTCTGAACTGGGTTCATGTGACCTCCCCTGTAGAGCCCCTAGTTTCCCCAAAATTGCATAATGATTGTCTGGCAGAAGACTAGGGGGACAACTGGTAGCATAAGGAGACCACAGGAATGAAACAAGATTGGAAGGGGCCAGAATCAGAAAACAACTGAGAAGCACAGAGTCTGCATTTAATTTTTTATCCCTATCCCAACGCACTACGTTTTGAGCCATAGACGTAGTACAGAGTGTAAGGTTGTTGCATTGCAGGCACTGCACCTGACTGCAGTTCAATTCCTGGTACCATGGATGGTCCCCTGAGCACTGTCAGGAATGACCCTTGTGTACAGAGCTAGAAGTAAGAACGGAGTATCACTGGATGTGCTGCCCCCAAACCCACCCATCCCCCAAAAGCAGCAGCAGCAAGTAAGTTTTAGATGACTGTTTGCTCACAGTCATTTTGGAGGTAGGGAAGCAACATTTTGAAATTTTTGGTAGTATATAAAGATTATAGCCAGTGAACCTGAAGTGGCTCTGGAGTTTTTCAAGGTGGTTGTTATCTGAAAGTACTGTCAAGTATCTGTTTTCAGACTCTGAAGCACTACTTGGTATGCTTTTAAAGGCAAATTATTGATAGATACAAAGGAAAAAAATTAAAATGTTTAACATTGATAATTTGAGGATAGCGTTTTCCCAAACTAAACATGCCAGTAATGCAGTTAATGGCAGTTAATGTAGATATCTTTCTAGACCTTTATTATGGTCTGAGCACTTAAACTTCTCTTTTAAAGAAGGCTATGAGTCATCTTGATTTTGAGCACTTCAGCTTTCTAATTTGTTAAAAATAATAAAAGTTTCAAAGAGTTTTTCTCTGAATATAGTTTGAGAAATTAGATGTGTGGGCAGATTATTTGAAATTGACATGGAGGAAAGATCAGGAATGGGTGGACCTTGTAGCTATGTAGTGGTCAATTTTCTGCTTTACAACTAATAATACATTTTTAAGGTGGTGTGGGAATGAAGAATAAAAACAGCAACACTCATTGTATGTTTAATATGATCAGGCACTATAAAAATTTTACAATAATAAACTCATTCAATATTTATACTAATTATGTGAGATAGTTGCTACTATAGACTCGTTTTTGTAAAAAGAAAACTGATCTCTGACCAAAATGTAAAAGATATTCTGTGCTCTTAAGGGTCTAAAATTTGATTTGTAAATTGGAAAGAAAAAGTTGAATTTCATTATTTTTCATCACTTAAGAGAATAGGATATTTGAAATAAAATTGCCTATAAATTTAGATTGTATGATAACCACATATTTAGGCTATTTAATTTTTAACCTTGTTTTCTTTTCATAGTGAACTCATAGCCTCAAATTTCAAGGCAAATTCCTTCCTGTTGTCCTCTGTGCCATGCCTTACATTCATATTTTGAGCATACTGATTATTGGATTTTAAGTTGTTTTACCTGTTTGCAATTTACTTGTTGATTCATGTTTCCTCTTTAAACATTTGGGTTTTAGGTTCTATTTTTACTCTATTTACTTGATACAATTTTTTTTGTTTATTATATATCTTTTCAGCTCTGCCATAGCTTCTCTATTCAATTCTTCAATTCTATTCTATATTCAATTCTATTCAATTCTTCATCTCCAGCTCTGATTTAAGCTTTTAAATGGTATTTTCAGTTGCCTATTAGTCATGTCTGTCTGTTAATTCTCTTAGCACCTTAAAATTTGAGTGCCCAAACTAAGATCATATTTCTCCAACTAATCCTTGTGAGATTCTCATCTCTATCAATGGTGCCATGTTTATTTTGGTTAGTCCTCTGCCTCTTGGAGAGCCGGGCAACCTACTGAGAGTATCCCACCCACACGACAGAGCCTGGCAAGCTCCGCGTGGCATATTCGATATGCCAAAAACAGTAACAAGTCTCACAATGGAGACATTTCTGGTGCCCACTTTAGCAAATCGATGAACAACAGGAGGACAGTGCTACAGTGGTACAGTCCTGTTTTATATTCTTAATCCTTTTTATATGTGATTGGTCACCAGATACTTTCAGCTTCTTAAATATCTCATGCCCAGTTATCTGTTTATTTAGTCTTTTAGTAAATGCAAAACATGAACCCAAATTTTGTAGTAGGAGAGCTAGAGTAGGAGAGCTGTTTTGGAAGTACTCATTCAGTCTAGTTCAGTAGAAAATGTCTTATTTTGTTTGTTTTCAAGACTGAATATTTCTTTTGTCTTTTTTAACATGTTTTCATGTTTGTATTTCAGTCATACAGTGAACCCATCCCTCTATTGTGTACCCATCCCTCCACCAGTGCCCACCTTCCACCAC